GGGGGAGGGGGAGGGGGAGAAGGGGTGAAGAAGATGCCCCTGTGTAATGTCTCTGCTGTCTGTTTTCCCTGTCTTTTTCGTTTCCATCCCAATCATTCCGAAGTCCCTGTGCTTCAATAATGAACTTATATCTGAAGGCTTCTTTTCGTTTTTTTTTCCTTTTCTTCTTCTTTTTTTTATTGTTTAAGGCGACGGCCTTGAGATATCATCATTGAGCTGACCGGCCCCAGGTGATTCAGAATGATTTTCTTCTGTTCATCTGATTGCCCCGATTCGAGCACAGGTCTGTATTTAAACAGTTCATGGGTGTACCAACTGAGCTACTAGGCCCTCTTGAAGGCTTTTGAAGCTCATTTGCATTAAAAAAAAAAAAAAGGTTTAATGGATTTTTTATTTTTTAAAATATTTTAATGATGATAAACTCGGTCTGAATGCCATCCATATGCGGAATCACATTTTTTTTTTCTGTTCTTTTCTGCAGGGTTCGATAAAGAGGAAGAAGGAGTTGACGTCAACAGAGACAGGCATTCTTAAGTGGCTGGAGGAGAATCGCTAGACGTCCGCGTACACGTGCACTCTTCTGGTGGTGACACGTGTACACTGCCAGAATCAATGATTCCTCAACTTTCTCCTTAAAGTTTTTTTGTTTTTTTTTTCTTTTTCTTTTCTTCTTCTTTTGGTTCATGTTCCATCCTTCCTTACATTCTTCCTAATTTGTGTTGAAGTCAACATTATTGTAACACGTGTACTGTTATTGTGGCCGTGACTATCACTTCACTATTCTATTTGTGACGATATATAGATGTGTATAGATGTGTAGGATTTTTATTTATTTATTTATTTATTTTTTCTGTTATTGTTTTAGACCACTGGATCCCCCGATCGGCATTGAGCAGAGTCTGCTGATGTTCCTATGGGGGGGGGGGGGTTACCACCTGAGGGGAGGCACAGGGATTGGTCCTGTTGGCATGGTCCCTGATGCTACCTGCAGGGGGGACCACCACCCTTAGCCGGTATCGCCCACCTGCAGGTCAGGAGCAGCCCCCACATGTTCTCTGGTGAACACGGTTCTGGCTGCTGCTAGGGGATTCCCTGTATGCCTACAATCACTGGGCCCTGTTAATAAAAGTGCAATTTCGGGAAAAAAAAAAAAAAAGGAGTAGTGGTAGGTAGGTTGTGTGAGGTGAAATTGAGAGAAGAATAAAACTAAAAAAAAAGAAGTAAAAAAAGTAGAAAGAAAAATTGCTGGAAGGTTTGAATTTTTATCGGAATTCCTTTGAAATTATTGTTGATTACATGCGAACATTTGTCTGTGCAGAAGTGCCTTTTATTATTATTATTATTATTAATTAATTTATTATATATATAATAAAAATAATATAACAGTCTGCAGAGTCCCCTAGCCCCATAAACTATACTACTATAAGTATTAAGTAATAACCCACCTAAGCTTAACTCCAGTTTTAGTTGTGTACCAACTTTTGTCTGTGCATCAATGCCAGCCCCCTAGCAACTGATCCCCTTTTTTTTTCCCTTCTTCTTCTTCTTCTTCTTCTTCTTTTTTTTTTTTGAAGTTGACGTCAACGACTGCCCCCTGACAGCTGATACCCTGCGTTTTTTTTTTTTTTTTTTTTTGACATCAACGCCCGACCCCTGACGCCCGACCCCTGACGCCTGACCCCTGACAACTGACACCCTGCAAGGACTGAATTGCAAATCTGCTTTAGACTCTACCCCAAACAGATATACCAGCAACCAGGCGCGTAACTCACTATGGAGAAAGAATGACAATAGTCGAAGCAGTGTATCTCACTCAGAGCAGAAGTGGAAACAGAGAGACTCGCAGAGCGAATATATATTAGCACAGATTCTGAAGTGGAAACAGTGAGGTTGCTGGTATATATATCAGCACACATTGTCAACCGTGTATACACGGCAAACGCACTGACACTGTGTGAATGAGCAATCTCGAAACAAACTATCATATCAGAGAAGAGGGTGTGTGTGTGTGTGTGTGTTGAAAAAAAAGAACGAAAAAAAAAAGGAAACAAACTCTCAGAAAGAGTACCACATGGAGTAACCGGGAGAGTGCCATAGCCAAGGCTATCTCACACACTGCAGCCGCATCAGATGGAAAACTGTACACACTGCAGCTTCCCACCCCATCATAAGCCAGCAAAACCCCTCGGAAACATCAGTTTCTCCCTCTCACACACACACTCACTTCCCCCTTTACTCTCTCTCTCTCTCTCTCTCTCTCTCTCTCTCTCTCTCTCTCTCTCTCTCTCTCTCTCTTGTATAGGAGTGGGGAGGCTGAACGGCCTGTCACTCCCGTGTCCTCAGATCTGCTCTTTCGTAAATAACTTGGAAATGAAAAAAACAGGAGCACCTAGGCTACCAGAGTGGCCCAGGTCCACTTGCCCCAGGCAATTAAGAAATAGTTGGTTTTACTCATCGATCAAGTTCATCTGGGTTCGAACACAGCACCTGGTCTGTATTTCAACAGTTCAATGGTGTATGTACCCACTGAGCTAGGCTCTTGGGTGGGGGTGGACAGGAGACTTCCTTTTCTTTGCTGAACTCTATTCCCCCTCTGGGCGCCGAAAAAAAAGAGGAACTGGCGCGTTCTCTTTTTTGGCTGATGTCGCCAGTCGCCAGCCATTTCACTCTGGCAGGCTGTGGCCCGAAAGTGGCGGTGTGTGCATGGCCGTTTCGCAGAAAAAAAATGGCTTGGGAAAAGCAGCGGTGGTTGAACTTTGGATGTCACATTGGCCTATGAGCTGTGGGGAGGGGGGGGGGGAACAAACAAACATTGGCCCATGAGTACTGGGATCACACACCAAACACACAGCATAGGGTTAAGCAGCTGTATCTGGCCCATGACCAGAATGGATCTAAGTTCAGCCACAGTGATGCCGTGTTCTCTGGAAGACATCATTGCACCAGCTGGGGCTTGCCCGGCTATATGGTTTGGGCTGGACAGTGGGCTAACAAGAATCTGGTCCATATTTGAGCCAAGTACTGCTATTCTGGTAGGGCAACATCATCCACTGGCACCGACCCCGAGATAGTCATCACATCCACCTCTTGTGCCTGCCGAATCTTTGATTGACCATATCTTTCCTTTTTTTTTTTTTTTCTTTTTTTTTTTCTTTTTCTTTTTTTTTAATGTAATTTGCCAAATTTGGACCATTTCTCGATTTATGCATGCCATCCTTGCGCAGGGGCCATGCTAATCTTCTCTGTATCGTTCCAATTTTAACGGATGTATCTTCCTGACATTGACTAAAAACTTTTCTTTCAATCTTCTCTCTCGTTCTCTCTCTACCACCCCAGGCCTACCCCCCTCTCTGTCTGACCATGTCGGTAATGTGCATGCACGTGCATGGATAAGTGCATGCATACGGATAAGTGCATGCACGTGCATGGATAAGTGCGTGCATACGTCTTTTCTTTCAAGGTCTTTTTTGTGTTGTTGCTTTTTTCTGGGCTATGTTTGGTACAATTATAATGATTGGTGTGGATGCGCAGTTCGGATCTTATGTGGGATGACATTGTGCTCTCGAACCATCAGGAGCCAGGCTACTTGGCTTGCACGGCCATGCTGCCCAGCCCTCTGTCCGGGGCAAGTCGCCCAGGGGTCACCTGCGTGGGGCACCATGGCGTGCAGGAAAAGTCAGCCTTTCTTTTTCTTTTT